AAAAAAAAAAAAAAAAAATGTATACATATGTCTTTGGGCTCTTCATACTCCGAAACCTAGGCATTGATCAGGACAGGGGGATGGAAACTCAAGGCTCCGGCTAAGCTGTTTCTTGAAACCAGAGGACAATCACTGCCCTGATCTCACTCCTAAGGCGTTAGGGTTTTGGCATTCTTGGTAAGACAACGCTAGGGAAAGCAAGCAGTGCTAAAATCTGCCACTAGATGGCACTACTCCCCCAACATGCCTAATGCAGGAATACAGAAGTAGAATTTACCTGCCTTGCAGGTTCCTCCAAAATCAAGAAAGATAAGGAAGCTTAGGCTTTAAGGGCAGGTCACAGCCAGCAGCCCAAGGTCTGTTATGTCTGAGAGAAACCACTTCCATCCCAGCCTGATCAGACAAATGAACAAGCAACGTGGATGTTCCAATGGCTTTATTAATTCTCTTTCTGGGTGGCAGGACATCACAGCTGGAGAGTTGGAAGGGAAGCCAAGAAGCTGTGGTCTCAGTATGGGTCATTAAAGGGGTACAGAGGGTGCCCTGCATCCCTTGGGACCCTCTTCCCATCCACCTGGAAAGAAAGACAGATAGAGGACTCCATTAGTAGGAGTTGTCATTCCAAAGACTCATCTTCCCCATGTCTTCCTAAACAAACTCATCTGTATACAGCACTATGCCAGGTGGCAGTGGCCAGGATCGCCACCTCAGAGAATGCCACAGTATCAACAGTATTCCAGCACCAAACCCATAGTCTAATATGTACCTGTCCCTGTCCCTAAGAATTTCTCAACTAGGATCAAGTGGCTAGGAACGAGTTATTTCCCTTTGTGCAGCAGACTTCACCCTCAACCCAACCTCTCTAACAAGGTCAATAATGCCTTCTGGGCTCCTCTCATATCATTTACTAAAAATCTACTATATATCAGGAACTGGGTTCACTTTATAATAAGCTGAGGCTTGGAGAAGTTAAATAACTTGCTCTAGGTTATAAAATACCAGGAGGCAGAACTGGGACCCATAGGTTATACACGCCTTATCACTGAACCATACTACTTCCCAAGCTCAATACAGAGGAAAGAGAGCATTATACCCAGGATAGTACTCTCACCAACAACATTCTTTCGCTCCCATGACCAGCAAGCCTGAGACCAGACTTGAGCCAAAATCCCATCCTAAATCTCACATTCCCTAACTCTGGGAGGTGATACATCCTCACCGTTAGCATGGGTACAATATATCGCCAATTTTTGTTCAGGGCATTTAGCTGCTTCATCTCTTCTGGGCTAAAAGTGAAGTCAAACACCTGGGGACAGAGAGTAGAGTTCAAGAAAGTCAGCCTTGTGAGCATAAGCTGGGGTTTCACAACACTGCCTTTTTAGCTAGGCAGTTGGGGATATAAAGTGTCCCAATAAACTAAATAAGATAGAACCTATTTCCAAGTACCTGAATGTTCTGAAGGATACGAGAAGGGGTGACACTTTTGGGGATGCAAATCACTTTCCTCTGGACCTGCCACCTAAGTTGGGGGATTAAGGTAGATGAGAAAAAGGAAAAAGTATTTGTAAGCATTATTTTGTCATCCATGCAGCCTTCCCTAAACTCTTGCATCACCTGAACCCCACTGGAATGGGGGAATATGCCTCGAGTGGCCTCCTCCCAGATCACATGGTAAGATCCCCAGTCTCACGGAGACACTCAGATATGGAATCCCTTAACCCTTGCGTCCCAACCCAGGGGTCCTTTCCCTAGGAGTGTCCTGTACCTGAGCAAGATCTGAGCTGGAGATCGGCCATACTTTTCAGCCAATGCCAGGACCACTGGTTCCTCAAGCAGGACAGGTTCATCAGGATCACGCCACGCACGATCAGAGGATCCCAAAGGGCTAAAAGCAGTCATCTCTAGGCCGCGTGTTTGACAGTGGGCAATTAGCTCATTCTGAGCCAAGTATGGGTGGCATTCCACCTGAGCCAAGAAACAACCCATCATCATGGGGTGGTCACACTCAACTTGCCCGGCCCCACCCAGACAAGCATATCTGGACCAGCACTCCATTACTGACTCCTCCGCTTCCCCTGTCTACTTTTCTCACCATTTTTCATTGGCGATTTCATTCTCTCCCAGGGCTTCAAACCCACTTTTATGCAAAAGACTTCTACACCAACACTTCTGACAAATTGCTTGCCATCTCCATTAAGTTGTCCCCATCACCAACTCCTAAACCACTGATATGCTCACTGTGCTCACCTGTAAGACAGCTGGGCGCACAGAGGCCACACTGAGTATATCATCAATCTGCCGACTGTTGAAGTTGGACAGGCCCAGCGCCCGCACCAAGCCCTTTGCTACCAGTGCCTCCATAGCTTTCCAGGTCTCTTTGTAGTGGGTAGAGTCATAGCGTATAGTCCCATCGGCATTCTTGGGGAAGGGGTTGTCTCCCCGCCTGAGTAAGAGACAGCCCCACAAGTGTGGGCACATATGCCAGGCTTCTGTCCTACCTGCCCATCCAGCTACTCCATACCAAACTCCAAGCCCAAAGGGGGTAAAAGGTCAAGAATTAGGAACACCCATGGTTTTTCATCCTTCCAGATTACATCTCAGATGTTAAGTCTACGTGGAATGCCTATTCCCCCTCTTCTTCTTCCTGGACTGGTATCTCCTCTCCTCTGGGAAGTCTTCTTTAACTCCTTCCTCCTTGGGGAGTTACCTGCTCTTCCAGCCTTCTTCCAGTACAGGGCAGAGTGCTGATGATGGTGGGCTCTTTTCACACTCTCTGCTGGAGCTTATTCGTTACTGCAACCCTAGGGCCTACCTCAACAGAAGGGTCAGCACATTTCCTGAAAGAATAAAGGGAAGCTGGGAACGGTGGCCCTTAATCCCAGACTTTGGGAGGCTCAGGTGAGTGGATTGCCTGTGCCCAGGGGTTCGAGACCAGCCTGGGCAACATGGCAAGAACTCATCTCCACATAAATCAAAAAAATTAGCTGGGCATGGTGGTACACATCTGTTGTTCCAGCTACTTGGAAGGCTGAAGTGGAAAGATCGCTGAACCCAGCAGGTAGAGGCAGCAGTGGCTGTGAGTATGCCACCGCACTCCAGCCTGGGCGACAGAGTGAGACTCAAAAAAAAAAAAAAGAATAAAGAATAAAGGGAGCAGGAGGGGACACTTGCATATACTTGGTACACACCACGTGAACCTATCTTTCTTTTTCTACAACTGAACTCCTGGCTGCTATTGCAGAAAAGGTTCAGATCTCGTGTCAAGCTCCTCCGCTTGCCACACAGATGAGTGTTCCTATCCTGCTCTGTTGCTGTGACTTACAATAAGTTACTAATACCACCCCACTCACCCCGACTCCCCAGACGAAGACTCTAGCAAGACTCACTCAAAGGCATAAGGCCAGTGCATCAGGTACAAGTCCATATACTCAAGCTGGAGGTCAGCCAGTGTCTTTTGGAGAGCAGGCTCCACATCCTCAGGGTGGTGCTTGGTGTTCCACAGCTTGGATGTCACAAACAGTTCCTCCCGAGACACTGTCTAGTGCAGGGGGCAGGGCCCACAGTGAGAAGAGCCACAGGCACCCATTCTTACCCACCCTCAACTCTGGGAGAGGAACTGAAAGGAGTTTGGCATCAGCTAGAAGCTGGAAACTGATGCCAGATTCCTTCCATCCAGCCCCAGCTTCAGTGTCTGAGTTCTCTCACCCCACCCTCTGCATAGCCCCAGTCCTCACCTTGCCTGGTCCCACGTTCTCCTTCAGAGCCTCCCCAATCTCAGTCTCATTGCCATAGATAGCAGCACAGTCAATGTGGCGATAGCCCACACTAAGGGCATACTTAATAGCTGCTTTCACCTGTCATATGAGAGAAGCAGAGGTTTCAGCTCTGTTGGTTTGGACCAAAAACTATTCCCCGCTACCCCAGGTCACTGTTAAAGGGAAAAGAATATACCAGGGCCATTTATGCAGTGGGGATGGAAAAATGGAAGATGATTCTAGTCTAGAGGACAGAAGCCTCCTCGAAGGCCTCAAACACTTTATCCTGCCAGAAAGTTTCCTTCCCAGTCTCCAAAGTTCCTTCCCACCCAAGCCACCTCAGCAGGGTTCACCAAAAAACTAACAATATGTACCCAGCATCTAGCATTAAGAAGGCTTTAGTAAATATTTTTTGAAACAGAAAATGGATGGACAAATAGGCAAAAAACAGTGTAGATCATGGAGACAGGTTCCCAGCCATGAAGAGCTGGTTAGAGAGACATGATACAGGAAAACATTTCCTAGGCCAAGGCCATAAAGGGAGAGACCCTCAAGAAGCCAAGTAGACAGAATAAGCTCAGGAAGCTCAGGCCAGCAAAAGAGGTGTGAGGGGGAAAAAGAGTAAGGAAGGCAAAGAGATAAGCCAGAAGTTGGGCCTAGAACCCCCTAATGAGAGAGCAGAAAACAGGCATCAAGTAAGAAGGACGGATCAGTTAACTTGCTAAAAAGTAGACAAAAAATCTGGCATCAGCTGGGTTGGGTGGCTCAGCCTATAATCCCAGCACTTAGGGAGGCCGAGGTGAGTGGATTGCCTGAGGCCGCGGGTTGGAGACCAGCCTAGGCAGCTGGGCGAGATCCTGTTTCTACAATAATTCAAAAATTAGTCGGGCATGGTAGCACGTCCCTATAGTTCCAGTTACTTGGAATGCTGAGGTGGAAGGATCGCTGGAGCCCAGCAGGTTGAGGCTGCGGTGGCCATGAGCATGCCACTACACTCCAGCCTGGGCAACAGAGTGAGACTCCAACTCAAGAAAGGGAAAAAAGCCGGGCTCAGTGGCTCAGCCTGTAATCCCGCGCCTTTGGGAAGCTGAGGTGAGCGGATTGCCTGAGCCCGTGGATTCGAGACCCACCTGTGCAGCGAGACCTCATCTCTACAATAAATCAAAAAATCAGCCCGGCGTGGTAGCGCATGCCTGTAATTCTGGCTACTTGGAAGGCTGAGGCGGAAGGATCGCCGGAGCCCAGCAGGTCAAGGCGGCAGTGGCCAGGAGTGGCCACTGCACTTCAGTCTGGGAGACAGAGTGAGACTCTGACTCAAAAGAAAAAAAAAAAAAAGAAAGCAGGTCTCTATTCCAGGTTCTCCTCAGCTGGGAAGGTTTACACCGAAGGTCAGTAAACTATCAACTTTTTTTTAAACAGCCCTTGAGCCAAGAAGAGTTCTTACATTTTTAAATGGTTACTTATTAAATGGTTATATAAGTATATAATCACCTCCATTTTGTAACATGTCCAACAAAATCTAAACTATTAACCATCTGGTTCCTTAAAAAAAGTTTGCTAACCTTCAGTCTATACAGTTGACCTGGTTATTCTTCAAAGCTTGACACTTGCTATGTGCCTAATTCTAGACTGAATACTAGGGAGAGGCCCAGTCTTCAATAAGCTCAGCATGAGAGGAGATATGATCACAGCATGGGGTGATAACTGCCATATTAGTGATAATAGCACAGGGTTGGGCACAGAGGGGCCCCGAGTCTGCCACAGTACTCAATGCAGATCCAGTTAGAGAAAGATGTTCTTCCTATGCCCTTGGCCCATCCTCTGAGTCAGCTGGGGAAGCCAAGGGCTTACTGTTGGTCTCTTCTATCTCTTCCCATTGCCATCAAGGCTTATCCCTACTGCAAGTGGAGTATAGGAGTGGGACTGCTAGGGAAAACACAGGGCCCCTTTCCCAATTTCTGTCTTTTCTCTACCAGGTTCAACAAGTTTCCCTTCTCTTCCCCCATTACTTACCTGGCCAGGCTCACTCTTCCAGGTACCCAGACCAATCAGGGGCATCTTCTGCCCAGTGTGCAGGACACAGGAAGCCATTACTCTCTGAAACACAGATGGGAAGAGAATGATGTGGGGGTTGGTGTTGTTGCTCGGGTCTCAGATATCTACTTGTCATGAACATTGCAAAACATGAGCCACAAAGAGGTTGGGGAAGAGGGAACAGACAGGGAAAACAATACCCCTGAGCAGAGGCAGTGGAAACAGGGTGCCCAAAGCCAACCAAAGTCAGTAGCTCCTAGACAAACTAACCAGACCACCAGTCTGGCTACCCTTCCTTCCATCAGGCTAAAAGTCTGTGTAAAAGAGCTCTAGCATTAGCCGGGCTCGGTGGCTCAGCCTGTAATTCCGCGCCTTTGGGAGGCTGAGGTGAGTGGATTGCCTGAGCCCCGGGGTTCGAGACCGGCCTGGGCGGCGAGACCTCATCTCTACAATAAATAAAAAAATCAGCCGGGCGTGGTAGTACATGCCTATAATTCCGGCTACTTGGAAGGCTGAGGCGGAAGGATCGCCGGAGCCCAGCAGGTCGAGGCTGCGGTGGCCGGGAGCGGCCACTGCACTCCAGTCTGGGCGACAGAGTGAGACTCCAACTCAAAAAAAGAAAAAAAAAGAGCTCTGCCGGGCTCGGTGGCTCAGCCTGTAATCCCACGCCTTTGGGAGGCTGAGTTGAGTGGATTGCCTGAGCCCGCGGGTTCAAGACCCGCCTGGGCAGCGAGACCTCATCTCTACAATAAATCAAAAAATCAGCCGGGCGCGCCTGTTATTCCGGCTATTTGGAAGGCTGAGGCAGAAGGAGACCAGCAGGTCGAGGCTGCGGTGGCCGGGAGCGGCCACTGCACTCCAGTCTGGGCGAAAGAGTGAGACTCCAACTCAAAAAAAAAAGAGCTCTAGTATTGCCAGGCACAGTGGCTCACGCCTGTAATCTAGCACTTTGGGAGGTGGAGGCAAGAGGACTGCCTGAGCTCAAGGGTTCAAGATGAACCTGAGGGTTCAAGGTGAGACCTTGTCTCTACAATAAATCAAAAAGTTAGCTGGACATGGTGGCTGAGGCAGAAGACCACCTGAGCCCAGCTGGTCGAGGCTGTGGTGGCCGTAAGAGTGCCACTGCACTCCAGCCTGGGTGACAGAGTGAGACTCCCAACTCAAAAAAAAAAAAAAGGTTCGAGACCCGCCTGGGCAAATTGGTGAGACCTCATCTCTACAATAAATCAAAATGAGCCGGGCGTGGTAGCACCCGCCTATAGTTCCAGCTACTCGGAAGGCTGAGGCGGAAGGATCGCGGAGCCCAGCAGGTTGAGGTGGGTGGACTGCCTGAGCCCGCGGGTTCGAGGCCCGCCTGGGCAACTTGGCGAGACCTCATCTCTACAATAAATCCAAAAATATTAGCCAGGTGTGGTAGCGTGCGCCTGTAGTTCCAGCTACTTGGAAGGCTGAGGCGGAAGGATCGCCAGAGCCCAGCAGGACAAGGCTGCGGTGGCCGGGAGCGGCCACTGCACTCCAGTCTGGGCGACAGAGTGAGACTCCAACTCAAAAAAAAAAAGAATGTGTTGGAACTAGGGCAGTAGCTCACAACTGTAATCCCAGCACTCTGGGAAGCCACGGCAGGAGGATTTCTTGAGGCCAGGACAACATAGCAAGATCCCTGTCTACAAAAATTTAAAAATTAGCCAGGTATAGTGGCACTCCAGCCTGGGTGACAGAATGAGGCAGTCTCTAAAAAAAAAAGTATTTACAGTTCCTTTGAAGCATTTCTGACCATTATCACATTATGGTTTTGATAAGTAGTAGGAAAGGAGAGTCTCTTCTCCTGCATTTCTAAGTAAAACAGTTTGGAAAATGACCCTACATATATTAAGTTGACTAGATGTGATCTGTTTGGCTGGATTAAACATCCTGTTAACACTTGCAAAAAAGAGGTACTGTATGTTCTAAAATGTAATATAAGACCTAAGATTGCAATAATACTTCATATACTTCTTGATGCATGTGAAAAGAAGAACTTATTTTATTTTATTTATTTATTTATTTTATTTATTTATTTTTTATTTTTTTTGAGTTGGAGTAGCACTCTGTCGCCCAGACTGGAGTGCAGTGGATGCTCCCGGCCACCACAGCCTCGACCTGCTGGCCTCCAGCAATCCTTCTGCCTCAGCCTTCCAAGTAGCTGGAATTACAGGCATGCGCTACCACGCCCGGCTGATTTTTTGATTTATTGTAGAGATGAGGTCTCGCTGCCCAGGCGGGTCTCGAACCCGCGGGCTCAGACAATCCACTCATCTCAGCCTCCCAAAGGCGCGGGATTACAGGCTGAGCCACCAAGCCCTGCTTCACTATGTTTTCTAGGCTGGTCTCGAACTCCTGGGCTCAAATGATCTGCCCGCCTCAGCCTCCCAAAGTGCTGGGATTACTGGCATGAGTCACCATGCATAGCCTAAGAATATATACTTCCTAAATCTTTCTCCAGTTCATCCATATCTATCTCCACTGCCACTGTCCTAGCTCTGACTACCATCATCCCTTATTAAACCACAGATTTCTGCTTCCAGTGTGGACCCTCTTCCTACAAGTAATTCACAAAACCCAAACATGTGACTCCAAATCTCAATTTCTTCCTTTCCTTTTTTTTTTTTGAGTTGGAGTCTCACTCTGTTGCCCAGACTAGAGGGCAGTGGCCACTCCCAGCCACCGCAGCCTCGAGTTGCTGGGACTCTGGCGATCCTTCCGCCTCAGCCTTCCAAGTAGTTGGAACTACAGGCACACGCTACCACACCCCGCTAATTTTTTGATTTATTGTAGAGATGAGGTCTCACCAAGTTGCCCAGGTGGGTCTCGAACCCGCGGGCTCAGGCAATCCACTCACCTCAGCCTCCCAAGGTGCGAAATTACAGGGTGAGCCACCAAGCCCAGCTCAAATCTCAATTTCTTCCAGCAGTTCTCCCCTACCCTTAAAATAAAGTCCATGTTCTGGCCGGGTTCAGTGGCTCAAGCCTGTAATCCCAGTACTTTGGGAGGCATTGCCTGAGTCCAGGGGTCAAGATCAGTCTTGGCAACTTGGTGAGACCTCGTCACTACAGTAAATCAAAAAAATTAGCCAGGTGTGGTGGCACGCACATGTAGGTCCAGCTACTTGGAAGGCTGAGGCAGAAGGATCACCTGAGCCCAGCAGGTCGAGGTTGCAGTGGCCTTGAACATAGCACTACACTCCAGCCTGGGCAACAGAGTGAGATTCCAACTCAAATAAATAAATAAAGTTCAAGTTGCTTCAGAACCTGACTCCTACCTTCCTCCTCATTTATTCACTTCTTTCCTTCTTTCTTTTTTTTTTTGAAGTCAGAATCTTACTCTGTTGCCCAGGCTGAAGTGCAGTAGTACAATCATGGCTCACTGCAGCCTCAACCTCCTGGGCTCAGGTGATCCTTCTGCCTCAGCCTCCCAAGTAGCTGAAACTACAGGCATACACCACCACCCCTGGCTAATTTTTTATTTTCTTGTAGAGACGAGGTCTTGCTATGTTGCCCAGGCTGGTCTCAAACTCCTGGGTTCAAGAACTCCTCCTGCCTTGGCCTCCCAAAGTGCTGGGATTACAGGTGTGAGCCACTGCACCCGCCCTCCACTTCCTCATTTCAGACTCTGTGTCCCAGACTCTGAACACAGTTGTTCCCCTCATTTGACTCCAGACTCCTGAAAACTTTTCTTCCCCATACGCCACCCCTGCCTGGCAAACTGCTGCTCATCCTTCAGCTAGCAATTTAAATTTCTGGCACCTGCCACGTATTGATAGCTTGTGCACAACACTGCATTTTTCTCTTTTTTGAGTTGGAGTCTCACTCTGTCACCCAGACTGGAGTGCAATGGCCACTCCCGGCCACCGCAGCCTCGCCCTGCTGGGCTCTGGTGATCCTTCAGCCTCAGCCTTCCAAGTAGCTGGAACTACAGGCGTGCGCTACCACGCCCGGCTCATTTTTGATTTATTGTGGAGATGAGGTCTCCCCAAGTTGCCCAGGCAGGTGTCAAACCCGCAGTCTCAGGCAACCCACTCACCTCAGCGTCCCAAAGCACGGGATTACAGGCTGAGCCACCAAGCCCGGCTTGCATTTTTCTATTTATATACAAGTTGCTCTCACAAACCTGGCTACTTCTTGAGATCATAGCCTATCATCTGTCTGAACTCTTCACTCTTAGAGTACCTGCCCCATACATACATGTATATATATATATGCATACTACACACACACACACACACACAGGTTAATGGAGGGGAGATCCTGAAAACTGGAGTTTTGACCAGATGGAGGAGCATTTAAGGAAGTCAATGCCTCCAACACCTTCCTTTACATCTTGGAAAATCTGGAAAGAATCATCTCTGGAGAATATTTTAAATTTTAATTTTTATTTATTTATTATTTATTTTGAGTTGGAGTCTCACTCTGTCGCCCAGACTAAAGTACAGTGGCCACTCCCGGCCACCGCAGCCTCGACCTTGCCAGGCTCCAGGGATTCTTCTGCCTCAGCCTTCCAAGTAACCGGAATTACAGGCGCGCTACCACGCCCAGCTCATTTTTTGATTTATTGTAGAGATGAGGTCTCGCCTGCCCAGGCGGGTCTCGAACCCGCGGGCTCAGGTCATCCACTCACCTCAGCCTCCCAAAGGTGCGGGATTACAGGATGAGCCACCGAGTCCGGCTTCTGGAGAATATTAAAGTACTTTAATCTTCCACAAAAAAATCACAGTAGGCCAAATAGAATCAAACGGAGATTGCTCCCGTATTACAGATGAGGAAATAGACCTTGGAAAAGTTACAGACCTGATCAAAACCATCAAGACTCTTCTAGGGAGGTCCTACAGCTCTGAGTATGAACAACCTGAAGTGAAGAGTTCATTAACAGCAGCCTCTGCTTGGCGTGGTAGCTCGTGCCTGTAATCACAGCACTTTGGGAGGCAGAGACGAGAGAATTACCTGAGCCCGGGGGTTCGAGACCAGCCTGAGCAATTTGGTGAGACCTCATCTCTACAATAAAATAAAATTAGCCAGGCATGGTGGCTTATGCCTGTAGTTCCAGCTACTTGCAAGGCTGAGGCGGGACGGAGCACCTGACCCCAGCAGGTGGAGGGTGCCTGGGCAGCAGAGTAAGACTCCAACTCAAAAAAAAACAAAAAAGCAGTAGCCCAATCCAGTGAACATTCAGAACTCACTTTAACAAAGCTGGTTCTTCCAGATGGAAGGCAGGTACCTAAGTAAGAAAATTCTGAGCCGGCTCGCTGGCTCAGCCTGTAATCCTGTGCCTTTGGAGGCTGAAGTGAGTGGATTGCCTGAGCCCGCGGGTTCGAGACCTGCCTGGGCAACTTG